CGTGGAAAAATAGGTCTCTCCTGTCTTCCCGTAACTGGGACAAAGACTGTGTATCTGTTGAAGGATTTTAGGTAACTAGATATTAGTGTTTATGACGGTCCTCGGGCTAGCCGATCACGTACTGTGGAGACGCGTCGACATCTGGTAAACATCCTGCCCGGAGAATAGGATCTGCGTGTGGCAAGCTACGGGACAGAAACCGTTGGAATGTTTACTGCCACGTGCCGCTACAAATCTTTCTTTTAAGGAGAGCTATAGGATTACTCAATGCCTTTGTTAGATGGAGAGTTCGTCCCGTTGACCGCGGCCACGTTCGGCGACTAATTGTCGCCTTGAGCCCAAGCTCATTGTCACAAGTCTCAAACAAATACAATTGGTTAGAATGACGACAAATCGTTTAGTTACAACTGTAGATTTTAATTACAATGTTTTTATGGATTTTCCCGAGGTTTCAGGGGGAAGGCACCGGTATCCTCTTATCTCCGACATATATAACATGGACAAGGTGAATAAAGTAAATAAACGTACAGCGCAGGGGTTTTCGGAGCCCCCGGGCCCCGTCGGGAACACGAGTGGCTTACCAGGCTCGACCCGACGGTCATCATGTTACTGGAAGAACGGCGGAGGGGAGGTGAACCCCGGGCACCCCCTTGCCCGTGCGGTAAGAGCTACTGGGGAGAAGGAGAAGGAAAAAAGAAGGAGAAGGGCAGTGAAAGAAGGCGATAGTGGGAGGAGAGAAACCGAGGATGGTTTCTAATGTAAGACTGAATGAGAGTGTGACAATCTCGATTATTCCGAGGATGGGGGAGGGGGGAGGAAAGTGAGGATTTCTGCTCCTTTAAACCGAGTAAGAGGCTTCGGAGGAGTTCTACGATTAGTGAAAGGACGGAGGTGGGAGTGGTCGAGGAATTGGAGGGTTCCTTTGGAATTAGAGGGAGCGACCACAGTACGCCGCTAGCAGGGAAAGGACTGGCCTACGCTAAAATGCTGGCTAGGAGGGTGGTTGAGAGGAACGTTAGCGCGAAATTTGCGAGATCGGCTATGGCTAGCGAAGCCGAAGATAGTGCAAGAGACGATACGCAGACGAGCGACGTTGATGACGAGAACGTTTTGATTTCCAGGGCTGAGTTGAAAGGGCTCACGCAAGCCCTGGCAGGAGCGCTTAAAATGTTCAACGTGGTGATGAAGAAATAGAAGTTGGAAAAAAATAAAGATGAGGGGATGAGGGAGATGTTTAATGGAAAACATGCGGCGAGCGAGATAAGAAATGACCCTGATAAGAAGTGTAGGGATTGTAGAGGTCAGGGATTATGACGTGTTTTGCGTCAGTGGTTATTGTTCCCCTAATAAGAGTAAGGACCAGTTCAACGATTATTTGGAGGAACTGGAAGGGGTCATAAAGGAGGGGAGGAAAAGAGCACCGGCGATTATGGTTGCCGGTGACTTTAATGCGAAATCCTCGGTGCGGGGGGGCGGCTCTAAGAGGGAATGTAGGGTAACATGCCTGCTGGACGTTACAACGAGGAACGAGCTTATACCTATTAGTACGACGGGAAACTACTCCTTCCTGAGAAATGGAGGGACTAGTTTCCCGGATGTACTTAGTGTTAATAGATGAATGAGGCTAAGTTGGAGGGTGGTAGGGTCCTAGATTGGTACTCAGCCTCTGACCATTTTTATATTGAGCATAAGTTTAGGGATAATATTAAGCGGATGGAGGATGGTGCCCTTAAATACTCGACGAAAGAGATGAATGTAGAGAGTTTTTTAAACAAATTTGACGGAGTCTATGACAAAAGTGGTTTTAAATTTGACGAGGCGGCATGCGGCAAACGACTGCAGGAATGTCTGGAGCATACGTGTGCCGTGGACTTGAAGAGGAGATACCCAGCGAGTGCGAAGAGGTACGCCAACTATTGGTGGAGCGATGAGTTCGCTACGTTAAGGTGCGAAACTCTAAGAGCTAGAAGAAGACCCCAGCGAGCGATGGCGGCCCGCAAGGATGATGCCGAGGTCATGGTGGCCGAATTCGTAAGATGTTAAGAGGCGACTGACAAGGGCGATCGGGCGTAGCAAGGAGGAGAGTTGGTAGGGGTTCTGCGCTACCTTAGATCAGGATCCATGGGGCAGGCCGTATCGTGTAGTAAGAAAGAAAATGATGCGGTCGACGCCAATGGAGCCCCTTGGAAGAGATAGAGTGGAGGGAATCCTGGATGACCTCCTTGTCACCAGGCAGGAACTGCGACTGCCTACACTGGAGGGGACATCGATCCTACCTGGCGAAGAAGGAGGGTTAATCATGGAGGAAGTAGACCTGAGGATGGCCGTTGGGAAATGCGATCCCAGGAAGGCGGCTGGAGTGGATGGGGTTCTTGGCACTGTAGTGAGGTTATTGGCGGAGCAAAGACCTAGCGTTATCCTGACAGTGCTCAACGGAATAAATACCTATAGAAAAATACCGGCGGTGTGGAAAGAGGCTAGGGTGCTACTAATACCCAAGCCTGGCAAAGATGGCCGATTAGCATACTGCCGGCGTTGAGCAAGGTGTGGGAGTACACGCTGAAAATGCTCATCGAGAGGAGCATTGGTCAGGATCCCTTCCATAGGGACCAGTATGGCTTCAGGAGAAGGAGGGGGAAGGAGACGGCTATCGGGACGGCTACAGGAGTTGTTAGCGGACTATCTGGCTGAGAGGAGAATACTGGTACACTATCGTGACGGTGTCGTAAGGAGGAACGTCTACGCGGTGGTTCCGCAGGTGTCGGTCTTAGGACCGTTACTGTGGAATCTCGTGTATGACGGGGTACTGGATGCGCTTGACCGGGAGAAGGATACCAAAGCAGTAACTTTCGCCGACGATCTGGCGGTTCTACTCAAAGTCAGAGGGTCCCACAGCATCAATGAGAAGATAAAGGCGGTCATAGCCTTGGCCACCAGGTGGTGCTGCGAGGCTGGATTGCACCTGGCCAGGGAGAAGACGCAGGTTATCCTCTTAACAAGGAAGAGGATACCGACGATTTTTAACTTTGACGTGGGGGATGGGAAATTTCCACTAGCCGTGTTGTGAAGTACCTAGGGGTAGTGTTGGATAGTGTTAGGGGATTCTCCCCCCACCTCAATGCAGTTTGTGATAAAGCGGAACGGTTTTTGGGCGCAATACGGATCCTACTCCCAAACGTCGGCGGGCCGAACGATTGAGTCAGAAGACTGTAGTATGGCGTCTGCGAGTCTGTGGTTCTATATGGCGCACCGATATGGGCCGCCTCCCTGGGAAGAGAAACAAATAGGATGATCATGAGACGGGCGCAAAGTGCGGCGTTGATCCGTACGTCTAATCCGCGCCTACCGTACGGTGTCACATGGGGCTCTGTGTGTGCTTACCGATAGCATGCCGATTTGCATCAAGGCATGGTTGTGATGGAAGCAGTATGGAGTAAAGAGGCGGATCAACGAGAGCCCTGAAGAAATGGCACATGTTGGGCATGAAGAAATGAAGGATTTGGAGACGGAGACAGAGGACAGGTGGAGATTGGAGTGGGCGCTCCACATCCCCTACAATTGGACTAGGAGACTGGTAGAAGTTCCGCTGATCTTCTACAAAAGAAAGAAGATGATCAACTACCACACGATGCAGATCCTTACGGGACACGGTATCTTTAGCTGGTACCGTCATAGGATCGACAAAGAGTCGCACACCAGTTATCAGGATTGTGGTGCGGTGCTGGATAACGCCGAGCATGTGCTCTTTTGGTGCCCTAGATGGACGGAAGGGATAACGGAGTTGGAGGTCGAGATCGGTGAAGATTTTAGATTGGAGAACCGGGTCGTTCAGAAGATGGCCGCGGAGGAGCGGTTGTGGAATAGGTTGTATGATTTCTGCACAAAGGCGAAGAAATGCTTTCTAAAGAAAGGGAGATGGATGTCAGGAGAAGAAGGACCATAGTCGAGGAGAGAAGATAAAAGATTGGGTACGTTGTGTAAAGGCCAACCCGAAGTAATGTCGAATGACTGTACCGGGCTGGTACCTCGAGTACCTTAGTACAGGGAGAATGAGGAGGGGTTTTCAGTGGGTATGGCGATGTCATCTGGCCGAGTCCCACATAACCTGGTGACACGGGCCACTGGGTATGCGTAATAGCATTTTCACCTCGCGCAAAAAAGGCAATGGGGGAACATAAGGACAGATGCTCGTGGCCGGATGCTGTCAGACTGGGATGCGCTACACGGGCCCCTCTTACTGAGCAGAGACTCGACCAGCACATGTGTGGCGTGGAGAAAGTGTTCCGTCGTCGATATTACATGAGGTATCCCCATTGTCTTCCGACGGGTCTTAG